CTGAGCCACAACATAAAAAATGGCGCCTTGGCTAGGCAAGTTGGGTGAGAGTGTTAATGCTTTGTGACACAATGTGTCTTCTAGACAACGCCAGTAGAGTTATAATTAAGGAACGCCATGCCCGGGTTCTCTGAGCAATACATAAACACACCCTGAGGAACTGTGTTCCGTGTTTGCTAATTTAATTCCACTTAGGCCAGTAGCTTTTCAAGAAAATGCCCCACTTGGAAAGTTTCCAAGCTCAGGAGCTTCAATAAAATTCTAATAATCTGGGGCTGGCAAGATGACTCAGCCGGTGTGCAAAGCTGATGATCTCCGTTCCATCCCCAGAGGCCACGGCAGAAGCAGAGAAACAACTCTATAAAATTGTCCTCTGACCTGCATATGCATGCTGTGACATGCATGTGCCTGCCTGTACATACGTACATGAGCAATGAGTGTGTTACCGTCTTTTTAAAATTCTAGTAGTCTGTGAGCATCCCACAAAATGAGTGTGGTAAATACACCTCTAATTTTTCAAAACTAAAGGAAAAGGCAAACACACCAAACTCCTCCTTTTCTGAAATCCGTGGATTCCATTCCTGTACACATTTACTGGAAGAGAGAGAAAGGCTGTTAGCAAAGACTAGTTTCAAAGTCCTCTGAGTCCGTGAGTCAGAACGCCCTGCCCAGCAGTTGCGGGACTTTTAAATTACAAAAGCTTCAGGCGCTGAGGAAATCACATTGTCTTTCGAAAGAGTCTTTACCCAGGCACAAAAAGTGCCCACACCGCCTGCCAGCAGGGAGATTCCAAAGTAGCTCTGACAGCATTTGCCAGAAGTTACACTGTAACGAAAGGGAAAATACATCCAGAAGGCTGCCCCAGGGGTGCTTGAATCCAACCGGAGTGGCGGACCTCTTTCCCTGTCTGCAGTCCACCTAAAAAGTTTTACAAAGACAGAAGAAGTAGAGAGTGAAGCAAAGACGCATATTCAGCCAACCTCAAAACAAAGAGAGATCAAGGAGGACAGGACCCTCAGCTGCAGGGTTCCAGGGAGAGAGAGACTCCACCAGCCACAGCTGTTTCCAGAACAGAAGACAAAGGAGCCAGAAGCCACGGAAGACTCCCGGAGCTGAAGCAGCAGAAATGGGATTCCAGCGATAAGGACAGAGCCCTGCTGTCGTTTGAACTGTAGCCAGCTGAGGACCTCCGACTTCCGGACCAGGCGGAGATAATGCACATTGTTTTCAGTTTCTACTTGCTAGAGCAGCAAACCAAATGAACGCTAAACCTAGGGATTGCCAGGGATGGGGGTGGGCTACCGTGTGACATATGTCCGCTGTGACATGTGTGAAGTGGCTCAGCAGTGCCACTGGCAGAGGTCAGGAGCAGGTGGGCCGTGAGGGAGAACTGGCCTAGGCTGCCTAGAATGGCTGTGGAAACAGGCTGTGGCAAGTTCACTGGTGGGGAGGCAGAGGGAAGGGGGCCCTCACCCCTCCCCCCCC